AGCTTTGGTGATGCATTTTTTTATTTTTGGGCAAAATTTTTCTGTGGATTACAAAAAAAAAAACATCAGGGCCAGACATTGCCCTGGGTGAATTTTTACTCTTTTTCTTTAAATTCTGTCCCCACAGACACAAAATTTTGAAGAAAAATCCAACTTTGCTGACCAAGTGTTAAACAAGCAATGGGCTCAAAAGAAAATTGAAGTCCAATTGTGACTGTGAGTGACACCTATAGCCATTTGAAACAAATTTGCATTGCACACAACGTGGGGAAGTTTATCTTATTATGGCTTACAGATACTGTAATGTAGCACAGGGATTTTTGATTGGATTAAGGGAGCAAGGGTCTAATCCAAGCTGAACTAGCACATATTTAAAAAAAATTTCAATTGCCAAATATGAAGAGCCATCAACTGACATATTTTTCTGTGATATCAGCCAACTCATTCATGAGTATACCTATGGAGAAGTCTGAAAAATGTGTTAAATGCATTTAAAGTGATGGGAGAAGTACCAAAGAATTTTTCTTACATATAGATCTTAGGGTTAGAAATATCTGTTTCTTGCAATTAAGCCTAATAAAAGTCAATTTTCCTAAAATGTATTGGCAATTTTATCATGCAGAGTCCTCATGTTGAGTCAGTGTCCCTATGTTGTGCCTTTTTTATAGTATTTTTCATTGAAGAATAATTGTCCCTATGTCGAATTTTCCCCATGTCAAGGTGTCCGCATGTGGGGGTCTCGCTGTACTTTACCGTATTGGTGCACGTGCTGTTATTGTCACTGGAATACTTTGGATTAATCTGCTCATTCAAGCAATTGGATCATACGTAACGGTACGTTACGTAAATGATAATACTGATCCAAAGAAACCATTCAATCGAGTACACGTGAGCAGAACTGCGTTATTCAACCACTGTACTATGTATTATTGTACTTACAGGGATATAGGGATATATTCATGAATTTAAATGACAATGGCAAGCCCAAACGGATTTTGTGTGGACGAAAAAACTCATCACCACAAAATAATCTTTGGGGCCTATCATGTTGTTAATTTAAGATTCATGTAAACAGAATCTATTATTTTGCATTAATTTGGTGAAGGCGCGAATAAGTCATTGAATGGAATAATTTGAGTTCAACAGATGCACTTCAAAAAGGTTTGACCCCCTGTTTTCTTTCAGTGATTCATAATTTCAGCATAATATTTTTACACCAGTCCTTGTTGCAGAAAATATGTATGATATCCAAGCAGGATTAGAGAATGTGCTGATTAAATCTGTGTATGGCACATTTTTGCTACCTTTAGACATCCCTATACAAGTAAAAAAAATCAGAGGAATACAAAATTAACCCGGGGATTTTTTATATTGAGGTATCCGGCCTTTTTCGCTGAACGAAATGGTTTGAATTTTCAAGAAGCAAAAGTATGTGATTTTTGGGCTTTAAACTGCTGGCTAACTGATTCAGCAGGAGGCTGCTGATTGTGCTACATAATTGCCAAAACAGCCAATCAATTCCTTTGCTCATATAAATTTGACATCCAGAGGTTTTCAACTGGAAAATGTTTGGGATTGCTAGAGGGAATATTTTTTGGTCCTAGCCAAGAAGCTGTATCATATCAGGCAGATTCCACCTGAATCTTTGAAAGTGCTCTTTCTTTTTTTAGCTTTCCCCAGAAACATATACCGGTTCAATCAACCGCCTGCCACTCTGCTGGTATAAAAGAGAAAGGTACATAACAAGGTGAAGATGGTGGAGAAAAAGAGGTCATATACCCTGCAAAGAAATGAGCTCAGGGAAACTTGGTGGGGGTGAGACCCTGAGACATGTGGAAAAGAGAGATGATGGGAGGGCTTTTCCACAGCAGCCGCGTGCAGTAGCTCCGCCCATTCAACGGGTTTTGAATCCCACTCCTACCTGCGTATATAACCACCGCGCGGCACGTTGCTGGTAACGATTTCTGTCAAACATGCGGAACATTCATTTCCAGGGGAGTGTGAGGGGAGAAAGAAGCGGAGCTTTGGATCATCTACTCTCCACGAGGCGCGTTGGTACTTCTCGTGGTCATCCAAAATGCGCGTGGAATGCCGCGTGCCTCTGCGTGATACCGGTACCGCGTTTACATAGTTGACGATATTGCAGTGTTCCTCCTGTAACCCTTAAATGGACGACGTTCAAACACATTCGCACAATGTGTTCCTTTTTTTTAAACAGTAAAATCAAAAACAAAACAGACAATGTGGACATCTCAGAAAAAAAAAGGAAAATGACAGTTCATTTTTTACAGCATCTTACAAACATGTGAGGCGCAGTATGAAGGCGGACATGAATATGGGCTCTCAAGGCTCCGATTTATTGCTGATCCAGGGGAGTTTCCTCTGACCACACAATGCTTTTATTTATGCTGATGGAAAGAAGGAAACCAGAACTACGTCCTCCCTATTATTTTATTCCCGTTACTTTATTCATGTGCCATTTAAAAAAATTCTTGATATTTTTTTAATTCGGTAATTCAATGATCCGGCCAACCAAGATGCAAAAAAAAGTTGGTCTCCTTTGAAAATTTTGATTTCACAAAAATAACTTGATAAACTATAAGGTACAGTATTTTTTTGTATTCATAGAGAAAATCAGCTGCCTGCCCAAAACTGGGAGCTTGTGGGAAGATTTCAAGTTGTATTCAAAAGCAAAGATGAGTACTGTATTTTGAAATGTATGCATGGATGGTGCCATACTAATCATAAAAATTACATGTTTGTGAATGTATAAAGAAAGTGTCAAAATAGCATTACGTTGAAATAAATTATTGAATCTAGTGGAAAATCAGGGTTTATCAAACTCTATAGTATTTAATCAAAATGACCCAAATCATAACAGTGCTATATGAACTACATACTGTACAGTATATTTGTCAAATAAAACTTTTGACTAACATCAGCTGGCCAAAGAAGGAACAGCCAAGCCTCAATTTAGTGCCATCATTTGTCCTGGCACATTTTTTGGCATTAATAAGCAAGGGTGGTACTATATTGGGGGTATTTAGTGTTAGAGGAGAATTTTGCTGAGGGCCTCTGGTATATGTGAAATAGGATTGGTTTGCAGAATTGTTCAGCTATTGAGTTGGTTTTATATGAGAGAAACAGTTACAAGTAATAATTTGAGACTCAAATGAACTACTTCTACTGCATTTAAATGTATGTAACAGTGCAGAATATTGTAGAATTTGGCACATATTCCTTGGGGCAGGAGGTGAAATAGTGAAACTGTTTTTTTTTCAGTTCTATTTCAGCCATTCAATGAAAGCATCCAATTCAAAGATCAAGAACATTATTTTTAATTTTTGAAGAGACATTGTGCAGTTATTAAAATTTTTGTTGTTTCATGGTACATCCACATAAAACCACCAAATTCCATGTAAATGCAGAAGTCAAACTTTTACACTTATCCTGAGCATGGCCTTGTGATTTGCAGTAATGAATTAAGATAAATATGCCTTAAATTTATCTGATTTTTGCCCATTTTTCATCAAGGGCGGGAAATTCTTGTGATGGCACTAAGTGCGTGGCATTAAATCTATAAGTTTCTCTTATAGAAAACAATGGAGGAAAATTTGTTCCACGGATATTTGTGGCACTATGTGGGATTGATGCTAAATTGAGGGTTGACAGTAAGATGAACTAAACCTATAAACTCATAACAGATGCTATATTTCTGGTACCAAAAATTGAGATATGACCTCATCTGTAATACACAAGCAAATATGAAGCTCTGCATCAAATGAAATTGAGGAGAATCCAACGCAGCTCATGCATTATTGTACTCATGGATACATTGTACATGTGGTAGCTGTATCTATATGCGTAACCACATGCATTCATGTGAGTCTGTATATTTGGACACACATGGATGCCGCAGAATCTACATGGTGCTGTATACACATGTATGGTACACATAACACATGGACAGCTTAGCAAAGATAACATATCCCAGAGTTACAGCTTATTTTTACTGTATAAGGCAAATTTGAAAGTCGTCTTTGAATCTCTGAAGAAGTCATCCCTTGTGATGATGATGATAATTATATAGTACTCAAGTCCCATCATGATCTTCAGGACAAAGTGTTTTTATGAATGATATGTACTGCATCTTGACTTATCTCAAGTTTAAGTCAAGGTTAAACTAAGCGAGTAAAAGTTCAGTCATAATAATTGTAAATTTACTGCATCTTCCAACAGTGTGCACGGTATTGTTTGTCAATTACTGCATCTCCAAGGTTTCCGGAGTCTCCACAACTGACTGACGCACTAGCAAAAGCCTCTCTCCCGTTTTGCCAGGTAAGGATGAAACCGGAGACTTCAGGAGAGAGAGTTTTGAAAAACAGGCTGATAATCCGTTCCCACCGACGGAGGGATGTGTCGCTGCCACGTGACGGGACTGTGTATTGAGCCAACTGTCGTGGGTCGACCACGACGTCCGGAGCGGTAGGAGATACAACACGGGTGTTGATTGCTTCGGTGATGTTCGGAGTAGGGTTAAACGCGTACACCTTTCAAAGATGTCTAGTATACAGCAGTGGATTGAACTTATTTTGTACTGTGTGCATCGTACTGAAATGCGCTATGTGGATTCAGGTCATTCTTTCAAAAAACCTTAGTTTCCTCTCGATTAATATTTCTTGCGAAATCCGCCCGTTCTTGAGCAAAATGTCGTTACTTCGAAAGTAAGCACATCTGCAGCGTGAATTGAATACGTGGGATTTCCTTGATTATTCAAACTACGTGCTTTGTGATGAGTGAATGTTGCGTTATTGGGTAATTTCTCAGAACATTCTCAATGCCTAATGGTAGTTCCGATCTATCGCCGGAAATTACGCGTGAAATCCTTGCAGTGCCGTAGATTGTTCCGTGTTATCCTCGTGGTTCATGTCCGAGCGCGCCGTGGTGTTTATGTACAGAAAGTTTATTCGTCTTTGGTCTCTTCCGTGTTTTTGTTGTGAAAGGAGGAAGTGCGTAACTTGGAGGAAAGAAGATGGAGATGTGTGTGCACGATGGCCCAGGGCTTCATGCCTTGTGTGCCATGCTCGGAAATTGGCTTCCGGACGATAATGCGAACAGTGTCGGAGGCACGAACAAAAGCTCGACCTTCTTGGGACAATACACGTTCTTTTCACCGTACATGAAGCTTGCCGGGGTGAGTTCAGACTTGACCTGGTTGTTAACGTAGAGAAAGTGGCCTATGTCTTCGTTTTCGATGGACGAGTGTCACATCAGGGCTTGTAGGATTTCAGTTCCCTTCTCTTTTTTGAATCCACTCGAAGGCGTCGAAACATATCAGAAGAGAAAAATTAATTGAAGTATTGGCATGAGTGCCGAAGTATTTCCGACGCTTTGTGTTCGATGCGTAAGTCCTTTGGAACTTTTGTACAATATTACCGTCGTTCGGTGGAAGACTATGTGAATTCTGTTTCTATGTTTCCTCTCGTGGACTGCTTGAACAAGGAGGTACCCTGTTCTCCTCCTCGAGTGTTGAATATCAGGTAGTTTATTCAAGTGACTGCTGAGGAATGAATGAATGAGGCGCTGTAAGCGGAAAGTATCACATTCCCGTTTTCAAGATAGTCGTCTTTTGAATATTTCCCTGACTGCTCTGTTGTGAATTTTATGCTGTATATCCCGTTTCGAGAAAGAATTCAGCGGAGAGCCTTGCGCGAGAGATGCTACTTCAGCGCGTGGAAATTCTCAATTTATCAATAAATCGGTTGTTTTCTTGCAGGAATATGATCTTTGGTTCAAGATCGATAAAAAAGCGAAAGTCGGATTGAAAGGTCTCCTGGAACGTGTCAAAGCGGATACGTACGATTCCGGTTTTCCGGTGAGAAGAACGCTCAGTGCTCTGGATTTTGCGCGAAAGGTAAGCTTCGAAATATATCATGATCATCAAATAAGTTACTGATTTCTTGCGGAATTTCTTTGCTTTCAGGAGGTGATTCCTTTCCTTCTGGGTGCATCGAAGTCAAGTCATTTGTTGGGAGCTGTCCGGTGAGTTCTTCGTGATGCATGAATATGTTGATGTGTTCGCACTAAGGGTTCCTCATTTGCATGATGATTATATGTTGTGTTTTTCGACGTCGGATGTACATCTTGAGAGAAGTGACTTGTGTAAAAACAATTGAAGATGCTTTCGAAAGTATAAGACGCAGGTCGTTCGGTTTCCATCAGTGAGTGCTGAACATCATCTAGTTTATCTAGGCTTCCATCAGTTCTCAAGAATGGGAATGGAAGTACTGTGTAAAAAAAAGTAGATTCATTTCGAATTTAGTTTCTTGCATGATAATGGTTCTCTCAAGTCCAAGTTGGAGGAACACCAGTTCCTTTTTGAACCACTATGTGCCAGAATTTCAGTGACCGATTTTACCGAGTTTGAAATTTATTTTCAAATGGCTAACCGCTGAAACCTCTGTTTTTTCAAGTATCCTGTCGCAAAGAACAATTTTGTAAATGTGCTAAGTTGCCTACCCTCAAATAAAACTGAAGTAGGTTTTCTACCGTTATGATATCCTCCGAGGAGCGTGGGAGGGAAATATTCTGGGTTTAGCTCTTCATTTGATTGGTTTCGCGTTATTCTCGCTGTTATGCAGACGACAGGTTTCCCTCTGAGACGTTGAAACGTCGTCATTGCCATCGCAGAACCCGTGATATTTATATCGTCGTTGGTCGGGATCATGAGGTTTCTGGCGATGACGGCTGGGGTTCCAATTTTCCTCCTGTATAACAGAAATCAAGATTCTTTATGAGGTAAAAAATCGCGAACGCGAAAGGGAAAGATATTTTTGGGAAATTTCCGTGGGACAATCTTTTGATTCGAATGATCTGGAATACGTTTTTCCAGTAATGAAGAATGCATATTTATTGTATTGCCGAGAAATCGGATTCAAGTTCTCATGCGAACTTTCGGTGCAAAGGAAACTTTTTTTTCGGAAATTTTGAACTGTAATATGAAGTGAAAGATCTATTTTTCATCGTATTGAAAATCCGTAGTTTTGATGTAATTCAGTAGAATATTTCCGTTTCCCATTTTTTGAGCTTTTTTTCCAGGGAATTTAATACGAGTAAGGAAGTTTTTATTTTTCAATCTCGGATGAGATTAATTGAACGGAATGACTAGAAAGCTCCTATTTTCATTGGAAATTCACACGGCGGGAAAACTATTGACTAAAATATATTTTATTTTAAAGGACTTTCAACCTCCCTCGCAAAAGCTTTCTCGTACTTCAGAATAGAAAAATCCAATTCACTTATTGAATAAAGTAATTGCATATCGTACTTATCCCCTCTGTCAATCACGAAAAGCAATTGTTGAAGGATGTCTTCATCTTTTTTCAGTTTTGTTCGGAACTTTGGATTCATCAGGATTTAAGTTTTTGCGCACTTCCGGAATTCAGATGGGGATTTTCAACTTCTCTTATGCAAGCTTTCATGCAATTTTTCAAAATAATAAAACTAATTCACTGTCGGAACAGAAGTCATTGACTTACGTACTAATCTCCTATGTCAATGACGGAAAGCAATGGAATTACGTTGAAGTACAGTATGTCGTCATCTATTCTCCGTTGTGTTCGGAACTTCGGATTGAGTAGAATTACAATTTTTCGCGCTCATGCGGGATTCATAACGGGGTCGCAATCCCTGGTTTCGTATGGATTTCCGTGTGACGTCGTTACGCAGCTTCACGCCATTCACAAATGCTCCAGGGAATGAAAGAAAGTTGATCTCAGGATCAATAGAATTCACGTTACATCACAGGTCTTTCTCGAAACAAAAATTCATGAAGAAAAGTACAGCTCACCACTTTATTCATTTTTATTTTTTTCATTTTTAAAGAAAAATTCGAGCTCGACGATGGTGATGCTCGACGCGACTTTTTTTTCGCATTTATCTGGCTTTATGGTTCTTGAAATTTTTATTTCTGTAGCACTCGCTCCGTTGTGTTTTTGTTTTTTTTTCTTCAAGGATATACAGTAGCGGAAAAAAGAAATAATCCTTCTCGACGGATACTCAAAATTCCTCGTACGTTTTCTCCACTATGTATGATGCCCTTCGCCGTCGCCGCCGTCGTCACGTGCTAGAGCAACGTGCACCAGGCTTTGGGCGTCCGCCTAGGAACACCTCGTTAAGACGACACGTTGGCGGCGCGTGACTTTCCGCCTGTGCATGCGAGGACACAAGAAAAAAAGAAAAAGATAGAGCTTCTATTGAGGATGGGATGTGTGTGATAATTATGCTGCCTCTCGAATGATGACACTGAATTGCTTGATGCGCTTGCTGCTCGACGATTCGGAACAGTGTTCCTGTGGATCCTCTACTAGGCGGAATACCGGCTTTCCCCGTCGGGCTTTATCCCGGAGTTCCGTTGATCTCATCGGAGTGAAATTGCTCGGGAAAATCTGGGTGATCGGACTAGGCGAATCCGCAGAACAATAGTGAATCGTCCCTGATATGCGGACGATTAGACTGACGGACTGTTGCAAAATTTTTATTCTTTTTAGGAAATATGCTCCAAAATGCAGACTTGAAAAAAGTTTTTTAAAAATTAATTGTCCCAAATGGATGTAATATGTTGTTTAAATTTGTATTCATTACTGTAATTGATTTTTCTAAAATGTTTGATGCTCAGTTGAACCTCTATACATCAAATTTCAAGGGACCAGAGCACATATTTCAGTTACAGAGGTTTAGAGTTAGATAAACAAGCAGTTTTGTTGCGGGAAACATTTTGTAGTGTATAAGTGTATATCTAAGAAATTGGAATTAGTTATTTTCTTGGCTTTTGGATTACAGAATGGATGAAATCCTTCTCCATTGAAGTCTTCAAGAAATTCAAATTCATTCAACAAACTTTTGTCTGGAAACAATCATGTTTTTCAACTTGGAGTCCAGTGTACAATATTGAACTTCAAAACCAAGCCCATGAAAATTAACGCAATAAAAAATAATTGTTTTGCTTTAGTTTCGAATTTTAATGCTTCAACTGGTTCTTCTTGGGACCCTTGAAAAATCCTCTGTGAATTCGATGCAGTAACTGACTCAAATTTGTTGGAAATGTCTTTCTCATGTTAAGAGTGAGAGAAACTGCAATGATTTTGCTCATGGGGTTGAGGGATTCATTTCATATTTCTCGAAGATTTTTTAAAGGTTTAAGGGTTTGGAGGACTGTCGCCGTGCAGATTTATTACGCAATAGGGAACAACGCAGATGACCGGGTTAGTCAGAGGTCAATAGGGGTACGTCCACTAAATAATGATGTGCATGTGGTCCTCCACCCGGGTATTCGTTAGACCCCCTGGGGCCAGCTAGTTGTGCGCAAGACGCAATCGAGTCTGGATGTTCGGGGTTCAATCCACTTCCGAGTGCAAGGGGACTAAGCCATTAGTCTTGATGAGTTCCCCTGGGAGCCGGTGCTATAGCTCCGTCTGTATTCAATCAGGTTGATTCACTCGGAGTGATTGAATTGATCTGGAAGACGATTTAGGATTACCGCGGTATATAAAGGATATCTTTGGTTCGCGGAAGCCTGGTGCTAATCCTTGTTGCTTCAGATGAAATTAAACGAAAAAATCGCGTTGGTTTGAAAATGTTGTCAAATTTTCTGAATCCGCGAAAAAAATTATTCTGCTGTTGGGAAAAAAAAAAAGGAACGTCGTTGGATGCTTCAACATGTTTTCCATCGTTTTCGTCGGAGCACGTGGAAGAATTGAAAGGAGTACCTTATTATTTTTTTTTAACTTCGCGGAAAATAGAACATTGAATGTATCGTAATCGTTTGCACTTGAGTGATGTGATCACTTTGTGGAGGAAAACCCGAGATGGATTTTTTTGAAAGCGTCGAGCTGCTCTGCTCACCTTAAAAGCTTTCAATACTCCAGAGTGGTACTTGCTTTTAAATTGTCAAATCCCCCCTTCCCCGTTATTGCATTTATTCTAGCAGTTTCATCTTCAAAGTGTTGATCGAACCCTGTTTTTGAGTGAAGCGATTTACCGTGAGTGATTGAAGGAGGGCATCGTTTGTTATTTGATGGGTCACGTTGCCGTCGTTCAATCTAGGTAGAGCTACAATAATAGTGAGGATTGACGAGAATGTTGCGACGTTTCACGCTTTTTTTGTTTTATGACTGGTTGGTGAGAAAGACCTTGAGTTTTCTTGCGAGGTTATTGTTAAAGGATGATCATGTTTCGCCCAATTGCGAAGAACAATTTTAAGATGATTCGCATGACGTTTGCGATATATCGTGTGTTTTTTTTTCAGACTTTCAATTAGATTATTGATCATGCACTATGATAACGGGATCTGAATTTAATTGCCAAATTTTTGTTGATTGGTTGATAAGAAGGCCTAGGAGCTATGTTCGTCGAATTCGAGTTTTCTTGGCAATAATCACGGGAAATATTTTTAAATTTGGGGTTTCGTGTGAAATTTCGAAGCTCAAGTTTTAGATGCTTCCCATGATTTTTACGAGATTTCTTTTGTTGTTTCAAGTCAGTTATTGATGTTTTTCGGAAACAAACATGGTCTGAAGTTATTTTCTTCTTCCGTTTTTGCAGATTATTGAGAGCTTTGACGACTCCGTTCGAGGCTCTTATCCCGACCCCAGCTCAGAAAATTGCAAACGGTGGTTCGGACTTTTTGAGAAGCGAGGAAAACTCGAAGTCGAGTATGGATGATGTTTTCTTCCAAGAAATAAACGGTTCTGTCGGCGTGGATGTAATTGATCCAGGTGGCTTCAGAAATTTCGGGCTTTCGCATGATGGAGCCATGATTGAGCTCTCGTCGAGGTTGCAAGAGGTGAAATTGGCGTTTGTGGACGCGAGAACTACCAAGGTCTTGGTGGACAAGCTGAACTCGATGTTCTTTCAAGTGAGTGTCGAATTCCGTTCTGGTGAAATGTTATTTTTCGTCATGATCCGAGTTTTTCGTTTGTACATGTTCCGAAATAATTATCGAGCTAACTTATAAATATCTGTGTGGTTGTGTCGCAGTAATTTCTGAATTGTTACAAAATGCTCTTTCCACTTAAATACCGTATCTTCCACCAGAAAAAATTTTCCAAAAGAAGTTCTTGAAACTCGCCACATGCACGTTTTTGAAAGTTTCAAGTGCTTTACTAAATTCACTCAAGTACCTCGTGCCCTCAAGTACACGCCTGAATTTTTCAGCCTAAAATAAGAGTATGAAAGTATGCGAAACTAATTTTCTTAGTCAGAAAATTGCAATACTGTATTTTGAAAAAAACATTCATAGCATATTAAATTTGGACTGGAATTGTGATCAAATTGAAAGGTAATTTTCGACTGTTATCGTTTTCAAGAAATTGCTTGCAGAAATTAGTTAACGTCTCCGCTGCCTTTTCGACTTGTTGAACATAATTCTTTTTGATACTTATGCTGAAAGAAGATGTAAATTTATCTGAGGAAAATGCTGATTATTCTCTGCTAATATTCTCTCTTATTTTCTTGCTTTCGGGGTGTTTTTTTTATAGAAACGCGAAGCATCATCCCGCCGGAATCCGGGCGAAACTGTGAAACTCAGTGATACTGATCGGGAACTAGTTTACCAAATACTCATGCTGCTGAGGAACGTACTGCACATGGAAACGGAGGAATTCGTTGGTCAAGGGCATCTGGTGGACCACAAACGACTACAGCCGGATTTCCTGGCTCTGGTGTCGAGGAAAAATGCCATGTTTTGCGGAAAACGGGATGAGCAGGAGGGTGCTGACGGACTGGAGAAGCAGATGGTTAAACCTCAGAACGTCTTGCTGGGCAATTTGTTTGCCCAGCATTTGGACGATGCTTTGTTGGAGCTATTGGAGCACCCGGACTTGGTGAGAAAAGCCATCTTGCTTTACTCATCACAGTGAATTACTGTACTGAACTGTACACTGGGGTCCCAGCTTGAAAATGTCCTGGCTAACAAACTTCCCAGTTGCCAAACTTTGGGTTTGGACCTCAGGTACTCTGGCTAACAAACCCTGACCTGGCTTACAGACTTCAGTGGATATGAATGTGCACCCCAAAAAATGTCTGCTCCCTATCCCGTATTCCTGATTATCAGCTGTCAGTCTGCAGGAGTGAAAGCTTCTTCTTTTACTGCAATTATTGAGGTTGAAATCACCAAATAAAAGTAATTGGTACATCCTTTTCCATTTTATTTGAACAATTGTGTTTTATTTTTGCTGAGTAATTCTTTGGTAATTCTTTTAGCTTTTGTTTCATTACGGAGTTCTCAGTTCAAATATGATTTTGAATGATTTTTCAACTAAATATGGTACTGCACAGGTTGTCTGACCTTTTTTTACAGGCACAGGTCAAAAGTGAAATATGCAACACCTAAGTTACTGTTTCTTTTATGTTTTCTTAGAAACAATTTTTGGATTTTAGGCCTAATTCCATCAATAATCGCATAACCATTTTAAAATTTTGTTTTTCAGCCATTTTGGAGTGGACCTTTGACGGAAGTTGTATCTTTGCTGTACAAAAATCAGCACGTTTCGAATCTGCAGAAACTGGTTGCGCAGTGGTTAGATTCCGAAGGCACAGACTCAACTTCTGATGATGAAAGCAACACTTCACCGGTGGTAAGTACATATTTTCATGTCAATGATGATGCGTGCTACATTTAAATAAAGAGGTGTTCGATACCAACGCTAGAGGACAAATTAGTATAGTGGACACTTGGTTAAGAAACTTGTGGTTTTGATGAAAAATGTCTTGGTTAAGAAATCAAAATTGAGTAGGCAAACTTTTTTCTGGGGAAAATCCCAAATTTTAAAATTCATAAATTGATTTCAAGTCTGAATTTATGGCACAACCAATGTGCAAATAATTCTCATATACACTGGTATGAAAATTCTTCCCTTCTGGCACTCCAATATGTGTAATCTTGTGTTTTAAAATTTGTGACAGAAACATCCTTCTATGCTTTTCTGTTACATAATTATTTGCTTTTCTTTGCTTGGTTTTTATGTACAGTATTTGTTCAATTATTAGAAAGGTCTATTTGACCTTTACTTGCAGCATGAAAAAAAACAAAATTTCCTCTTCACCTGATAATTTGCAGTGAGTGTTTCTCTGGATGTGAAGATTTTTTGTCATTGCTTGAATCAGTGCTACTTCAGTATGTCACTGTAAAAAGCATTCTTACTGTAAAAAGCATTCTTGGCTCACATAAGATGCAGCACAAACTTATTCTGATTATATTTCCATGGTCTCTAATTTTTTATATCTACTATTAAGTTTTTTTGCGTCACAGAATGGCTCAAGTTCTTCCCCATCAATGTCTATGGGAAAACAAAATTTGGATAACAAATGTTCGTCTGAAACCAATTAAGACTGCTAACCAAGGGTCCAGTGCAATGTTATGGTCATTTGTAGAATACTGTAGTTGATGTTTATGTGTGGGAGAGCGGAAATCAATCCTCCCCAATTATTTCTTCTTCAAAAAATGTCTCCGATTCTTGCATATTTTCTCGTCAATTTTGATGCATGCCGCCTTTGAAACAAAAAAGAGATTAATACCAACGCTAGGACCAAGTAGTACAGTGATGTGAAGTTCTTCTGTAAAACAATGTAGTTGACTTTTTACCCTAATTTTTTTTTCCGTTTAGGAGAGTGGAAATCAATCCTCCCCGCTCCTTTCCTCGTCCAACAATGGTTCGGATTCTTCGGATTCTGATAAACCCGATTCGGGAAATACACCAGATCACCAGGACTTGTCCAAAGAAATGGTGAGTCCCGAGTATTTCTCCTGATTATCCATTATAAACTCGTTTTTTTAAGTAATAAGCTTTTTCGAGTCCCGAATTATCCAAAGTAAGCTCACTGTCTTCTGATTTCAAATTGGTCCTCGAAGGCTTGTCGAGGATGTCATTCAAGTTGTGCAAAGCCTTTTAAATTTGTATGCCTATCGACAGGTGAAATGTCCTACAAAGAATGTCGGTATTCTGGATCTTGTGATATCCTGACATCCCATGGAAGAGATCCCCTCTTCATTAATTATTGAGCTATATAATCGATTCGAAGGTTCTGGAAGGATCTGACCTGACCCATCTTCCCGCGCAGTTTCCGGGCGCTCTCAATTACGACGATCCCTGGGGGCTTAGGTTAGATATGACAGTTTAAATTCATTCATGCTACGATTGAGCTGACAGTGACGATTTCCCGGTTAGTTGGGCTTATTTCACGTGATGGACTGGCTGAAATGAGCACGAGGCGTTCCAGGTGCCGAATAAGGTTAATGTGTGGGATTATAATACCTTGATGTGCGTCGGCGGATTGTTGAGGGGTTTTCGGAAATAGATGGGAGAAGTTGAATATTTTTTTGTTGGGGTGGGGGGAAATGCGGGAGAAAAATTCAGTAAAATCTCGATAGAATAATCAAAACTCTCATGCACGTAATAAAATGTGTGGGAAATGGACAGTAAATACTGTGAAGTGCTTCCAAAACAGATCTAGAAAGACCTATCATGATTAATGAGTACAGTATTTCTGATGAAATGAAGAGAAAAACATCTGAATTAGATACTACTTACCTTCAATAAACTTGAAGCTGTGTTCTTTTTTTGTTGAGAAAAATGAAATGAAGCGAAATAATGTGTTGTATAGAAACATCGTTCTTTCTTCATAATCAACTTAATCATTTGTACCTGTATGTTTTTTAAATAGAGGAACCATTTTTTTCCTAACATACTGTTCATTTGACAGAAAGGCGTACCTTATAAAATGAAGCTGAAGAATTTCCACAAAATATGTCATGTTTTTTTTTAAATTTTTGATTGCCATGATTTCTCTACAAAAAGTTTTGCTTCTTTGATAAAGCTGGAATGCTTCACCTTTTTCTTACGTTTATCATGTAATCCTATGGCCTACACTGAGAATCGAGGACAAAAATTCGTTATAAAGAGATTGCAGCTTAACATGAGTTTGTTAAACCAAGATTTTCATTACAGTATAACTGTCGGGACAATGAAAAAATCACTCTAACTAAAAAATTTGTTATTAGATTCGTTGTAGAGAAATTATACTGTAATCATGGAGGTTCAAAAATGGACGAGATATTTATGTTCAGTTGAAAGCGTTACATTTTGACTTCTGTTTTTTATTTTATTCTAAAAATCTCATGACGCGTTTTCCGTCGAAAAAATTTCAGATTTTTCGGACTTTCGAACAGAAGCAACTACAGTATTTGCAAAGTTTGTTCTCGAAATCGTGACATCTGAAATTCATGCAGTGGTTTTCTGAACATTTTTCTACATCAACTGTTGTATTGTAATCATTTTTAAAAATACTGTCATAGGGATGGTTAGGAACTGAAAATTTTGGAACGTTTCTCCTTGAAATTTTTTGCGATGTCTTTTTTTTTCAAGTTGGGTAAGAAAAAGGTGCAGCATTCCAGCTTTATCAAAGAAGCAAAACATTTTGTAGAGAAATCATGGCATTCAAAAATATAAAAAGAACATGTCCTATTTCGTGGAAATTCTTCAGCTCATGAACAGTATGTTAGGAAAAAAATGTTCCTTGATTTGAAAAAAACAGACAGGTACAAATGATTAAGGTAGTTAGATATTTCTATACCACACATATTTTCGTTTCATTTCATTTTTCTTAAAAAAACATAACAAAACATAGCTTCAAGTTCAATGAAAGAAAAGTAGTATCTATTTCAAATGTTTTTCTCTTTATTTCATCAGTAATACTGTACTTATTAATCATGATAGGTCCTTCTAGATCTGTTTTGGAAGCACTTCACAGTATTTACTGTGTGCCACTGAGTCTGCGAAAGGACTGGCCATCGAACCCAGCGATATTTTCAGAGCGCTCTGTTGTGTTTCGAGATTAATTCAGCGTACTGATGAATATTTCAATCTTTGCCGTACTTCCGAGTAATTACTCAGGATGTCGCTAGAGTTTCTCGTTTAAAATTGTACTCTTTAATTTTTTTAAATGAAAAATTAATTCCAGGAGAAGATGCAGATGAGCTCGAATGACTCTGAATCCTCGTCGAAATCGAAAAAGCCTCACTCGAAGCGTGCACAACGAGACTCGCGACCATTCGAACGTTCGGAACAGCAGGATAATAAGCCGCCTTTTTTCCCGCCTTCACCGGAATTGCGGAAAAAGCGACAACGCAGCCCTAGCCGGAACAATAAGCGTCTCTGCGTTCGTTCCGGTTCCGGATCCGGTCGCAACAACAAAAACAACAAGGAAGACGACGCCGACGCATTTACTGCACCCTCCTGTGTCACTTGGCGCAAAGAAGACCATGGGAAGAAGGGTGTGGAGTGTTCGAGAGCCACGTCGATTGAGAGTCTGGACTCTGGGGCTTGGATGAGTTCGTCGATGACGTCGTCGAAATCAATGGAGAGCAAGAAGAGGAAGCCGTCGTCTGTTGACGCTGCCCCGTGCGAATATGTGAGTTACGATGTACTGTATACTGTAGCAACATCATGAAGGAAGAGCTGTTTGAATAATTGTGATCACTTTCCTGTGAATTCCGTCGCAGTTTCTGTTCGGTTTTGCTTGCCGTAGATCGCGTACTGGTTCTTTTTTACAACGATTTTCTCTATAACGAATTTTATCATGGCTTGCTCCCTGTGTTATGGAGGTTCTTGATGAATTAATTGAAAGAACCATGATGTGGAGAGAATTTCGTTGTAGAAAGAGTCCACCGGTGTATGTTTTTTCTTCGAGGATTGAACAGACTTTAGAAGTGCTGTACCTTAACACGGCTGCAGTTTTCTGATGTACCTGAAATTTGGCCATGTATCGATACAAAACTTGGCAGTCCTTCAGACATCTGTGAAAATATGTCTATCGTTTTCTTTCAATTTTAAACTCGTGTTAGCTGGACTAGAAATCAATACCAGAGACATTTTGTAGCGTGATATTTTTTGTAAAAAAAAAATAAAAAAGCGTGGAAGGCACTTCGAATACTGTCGTATCTCATTTCTTCCAGAATCCGCGGGAGGAAAAGCGGGCGGCGAGCGAGGAAATGAACGTGGAGCACGACGACGGACCTGCTGAAAGCTGCCGTCCTCAGTTTCCGACGATGCTTCACCGCAGTGGCGAGACTGAATCCAGGGAAAAGGCGGATAAATGGAAATTTGCGATTCCTTTTCGCAAGGACGGTGTGAAGAAGCAGCAGTGTTTCAGGTCGATTTCCACGGAACGGTCCAACGGAAGTGGCGGGAATTCCAGTGACGAGAAACCTGAGGTGAATGAAGCCCTGAAGGGAGTCACTCAACCGGTTTCTGATTGTCCTTCGTCCACGGAAGATGACTTGGAGAAAACACGGTGAGAGTGACATCTTACGAAATCGGTATACACTAGAGCAATATATTAGTACAGTGAGACCCCCACATGCGGACACCTCGACCTGCGGGCAATTTGACGTAGGGACACTTATTTTCCCAGAAAAAATTAATGAAAAAGGCCCAACATGAGGACACTGACTCAACATAGGGACATTTTGTGATAAAATTGTAAATTCATTTCAGGCCAAATTACAAGAAACGAATATTTCCAACCCTAAAATTGATGTAAGAAAAGTTCGTGGGGCATTCCTCTCACCAATGTACCATCCATTTACCATCCATTTAGCTAATTTTAAAAAATTACCTCCACCATGGAGGGACTTCTACTTTTTTCACTTGATAATTTTTTTCGTAGATGCCAACATTTCAATGTACAGTACAGAGATTCACCATTCAATGCTCCAAATGTTCTTATGGTGTTTCAAATGTATTCACTAATTCAAATTCAAGTGGCAAACAATTTTTTTCGGGGAATTCTGAAGAATATTTCTCCCATAAAACACCAATGAAAATTATGTAGCGTAAGTCTTTGGGAAAATAAGACTCGACTTGGGGACAATTCAACTTGGGGACACTATTGATGCACCAATTATGTCTCACTGTACTGTAAGGGCAGTACCGTAATATTGTTATAGCAAACATCTTTTTCGATTGATGGTTTGGCGCAATTTTATGTAGAAGGCTTGTGAATTAAACTTCGTGCTGTGAAACGTGGGGTTTGACGAAGACGAGAAAATACTCGATTGACATATTTCTTCAGAATCTTTTCATAGATTGACAGGTTCTTTGCGCTTCCCCGCCTGATTTTCTGCGAATACTATACCTTGTTCAAAGTTTCATAAGTGTCGTCAAAAGCCCTTCATGTTAAGTTATCGTTTTTCTACTTGAGTAATTAAGATTAAATGTGATCAGTTGAATATTAGTCGGGACGATGATGCTGGCGACACCTTCCTAACGTCTTGGAATACGACGACAGATGAAGGTGGACTCTCTGTACAACGAAATTCAAGGGTATAGAAAAAATTCGTTGTGTAGGGAAGTTCGTTGCACGTAATCCCGTATAATATGCGATTGAACCCCATGGAACCAAAATAACATTTGTTTTACAAAGAAAATCGTTGTAGAGCGAGTCTGTTCGCACTAAATATGAGAGAATGTATTGTTCGGGTTTCGAAGAAGACGTTTTTGAACTTTTTTTTTTTTCCTCTTTTTTCTCTGGTGTGTGAACAGAAACAGAAATGTGACCATGCATCGGAGGCTGACCCATCAGAAGAGCTCTTCTAGCGGTCATTTGAAATCAGTTTCGAAAAGCCTGGCATTGCACAAAATGAGCCCGAATTACACCCAGCTGTTGTCGAGCAGACGGAAACACAGACTCGCTGCTCAGCGCAGAAGAACATCTGAGAGGAGCCAAAGAGCTTCTCCGTATCCAAGCGACGATGAAATTTCACTCTTGCTCAGGTAAAACAAAAAAAAGACCTCCATTTTTAAAACTCGAGGAGAGTAATCGATCTGTGCAAATTTCAAAGAGTTAACTTGATAAAATCAATATCAGAATTGTTATTACAGTATTTTATTTACTCAAGTACCACGCGTACTTTTTTCTCCCTCAAACTTGAGAGAAGCAAGGGGGTGCGTGTCAGAGGTGGGTATACTGTGTATTTTTCAAAGGTTTCAGGAAGTTATGTTTTTATACAGTAATAAAAAAACCATCTGGTTGCTTTTTGTTGTTGTTGCAATCTTTGACACTAATTTTTCAATACTAATAGTAAAATAACAATAATACTGTACTTGATTCTGATGAGAAATTGTGGAGCAAGTTCAAGAGAAAAACTTATTTTCAAGGAAACAACTCGAAGTAACCGTATTTTTTTAGTATCATGCACATCGTTTTCCTCAAATTTAAGAGGTGTGTGCCATAGATAGGTATTCAAAAAGTGCAAAAATTCAAAAAAGACTTTCAAAAAGCTTTAGAAATTTATGTGTACTGTACATTAAATTTGATTCAAATGCGAAAGTGTTGACCAAGCTAGAAAAACTTGAATTTAATGAGAACAATCTTGAATCACAGTGAAATTCAGATTGAAAGTTGGAATTCATGTCTCTTTTTTTTTTTGAAATATTGTAGTTTTACAGTCACTAAAAATGGGGTGCGCGTCTTACTCAGGGTTAGGATTTTTGTCAAATGTTTTACTACAAAACCATGGTGTGCGTCTCACGTGAGGGCGTGTGGTATTTGAGTAAATACAGTACAGCAGTTGAATTGTGGTTCAATTCTTGTATGAATTTGAATTGGTGGGGTATTATTTTTAAAATAATGTGCCTTCAGTTAATCAGTTCAGAGTCACTGAAAATGAGATGTGCGTCTTTACTTGGGGATACGATTTTATAAAAATTTTCGACTGAAAAACCGCTGGTGCGTATCTTACCCGAGTGTCGATTGTACTGGAGTGAAAAAAATGATTCATGGAGTCTCACTGCGAACTCAAGATCTTCACCCGCTCACAGGATTTTAGCAGAAAACGTTTTTAGTGTTGACGAGCTTTTCATAGAAACAGATTGTATTTTTTTATTGATGGAATAATTCTTTATTTATTTTTTTGCAAAAAAGTGAAGGATGGTGTTGGAGTTCATACCGAAATTTATGAATGCAAATTTCCGTCGATCTCGGCAAATTTTGCGATGTTTTATTTATTTATTTTTTAATTCGGTTGCAGAGATTTCACCGTGGAGTTTCTTATCGGAGGCTACGGGCGACTGGTTGGTGTCTTGGCGAACGAGCTTCCGTTTTCTGCTTTCAAGCAGACTTCTTCAGCTGACAATTCAGAGGAAAATGAAGACAGTGTTGTCCGCAGCAAAATTGCGACGTCTAATGTAGACCCTGCGCATTTTTTTTGGCTCATCACGTATTTCCTCAAGTTCGCCACACAAATCCCTGTGGATTTCGATCATTTAAGGTGCCTACATTTCATTGCATTTTTTTGCTAAATGTATGAATTTTTTCAATCCGCATGTTGGACCTCGTTTTCCCGTAGACTTCAATGCAAACATATTTAATTGATTCTCCTATTCAACAAAAAGTAGGTATGAATGAGTAGTTTGAATAAGTCCGCAAAAATGGAATAAAAAGGGTTTTCCTCAACTTTGAGGTGCAAGAAACAACTATGCAGAAGAACACATAGAATCTGACCATTTGGTATCAAAAGGAGCTCAAAAAGCAAATACTGTAACAAGAATAAGTTTTTTGCACAGATGATGGAAAAAACTTCGGAAAAATAGAACAAAATCAGCTTGTTTTCAGAACGAATTCGTGTTAATTTAAAATTAAATATATTTTTCAATTTCTAACGGCTCAATTTGTTCAAAAGATATCAACATTAATTTTTTTAAATAAATAAAAAATTAGATGTTGGGGAAGATTTTCTCGATTTTGAATCGTCCCTAAATTGAATTGTCCATGTTTCGGGGCGTCCGCATGTCAGGGTCTCACTAATTTTTTTTTTCTCTGTTCGCCTTAGATCGGTGTTGTCTCCGCAAGTTGTCAGCTACCTCGTTTATCAAGGACTGGTTCTGTCTGAGGAAGTGAAGAAGATGAGCATGTGTTACCCAGTCGGGCTGTTCTGCCAGAATTCTCCTCCGTTCTTGCGCTCGTTGCACTTGGTAAGACCTTCACTGATGTCTTTCTAGAAGATGGACGAGATTTCAAGTTTGGAATTGCTTCACGTTGGAAAAGGTGATAACCGTTGTGCGGATTTTATTTTTTTTTTGCCAGGTTGTTACCGCCCTGAGTGAGTTTCTGCATGGTGTTGACACCTATGCCCGATCTTCTCGAGTGGCCGAGGTTGACAAAGAAAGGATCCGGGAATTGCAGAGTGAGTTGTGGCTTGCGATGGAGATTTGAGTTTCTCGTTTCACTTTTTCAAAAGTGAATTTGGTGTTTGGGCGAGAGAAGAAGGATTTCTGAAGATGAGAATCTCATTTGTTCGAAAGTTCAGAAATTTCACGCGTGACTGACTGACTGGAATATGCGCAGCAGTTTTGTAAATTCAAGAAACAAACTGCGTGTACAGATTAATTCAATTTTCGTGTTTGGTGTACCATTGTCAAGTGAGGAGTATTTTTGCGAGTCACAAAGTTTGAAATTATTTGACTTTAATGATCTTCTGGCTTTCAACTTGTTCTGTCTCAACAGCAGAAAAAAATATCTGTGGAATTCAGTTTCAGTCAAAGCCTGTAGCTTGGCAAAGAGACTAGTGATCTAAATCAGTGTTCCTCGTCAGCCTTTTTGGGCCTGCGGACTGTCCAATTTCCAAAAAATTTTCTGTGAATTTGCAAAGCTCCATAGAATTTTTTCAAAATCAAAAAGTTTTGTTTGAAAGACTTTACAGCAGTGTTAAAAAAATGTCTGCATTTTTAAACATTAGGCTAAGAATCGAATAAAGCATATATAGTGGCGTGTCTTCAAAAAACTAGCAAGGTTTGCTTGAAGCAAGGTTTCTCAGAATCAAAATTAATACATTTTGTTTCAGCAATTTATAATGTGTTTTATAAGTTATCAGGGCAAGAGCCAACTTACTTTCATTCTTCATTGGATAATTTCAACTGCCATTGTCTCTCCAAAATTTCAGATGAAGATCGAAAGCTTCATTTCTAGTTTGGATAAATGTATTATGCTGATGAAAATTTCCTGGTTCCTGGCAAAAACTTCTGCAGACTGGCGCTAGTCTTGGTATCATGGGTTGGGTAACACTGGATCTAGATTATTAGATTATTATCTAGATTATTCTAGGAAAGGAAAGCAACATGGGAAATTTCTGGAAAGCTATTTGGATTCCCAAAAAAATCCTGGTTGGCCGAGAACCCTGGCTGATGCATGCAAGAATTCAGCTGAAGACATTTCGCAATTTTCTTTCTCTTCTAAAAATCTGCTCAAGTGTTGCCGACTGTCTAATATCTTTTTCTGAATCTGGATTTTGTTCAGAATAATGCATCTTCCGGTTTGCTCTTGTTTTTTTCAGGGTTTTTGTTGAAACTAAGGGATATGAGGTCATTGCTGGCGTTGCTGGTGCGAAATGAAGCCCTCTTACACGGACCTGGTTCGGCGACCCTCGACACGTTTCCGCCGAGTGCTTACTTGATCGATTTGATACAAACGAATCACATCTTCATGTGTTACTTGCCAAATTTCGCTTCTGCGTGCAACCAAGGCAATCCCGGCGAAACAGCCTTGTGCAACAAAAAGGCTGTTGATGCGTTGATGGATCACCTCGAGAAGTGAGTGAATATCTGTCCTCATTAGCATAACTTCGGAACATTTGATGGGCTTTCGAGGAAATTTTCTTAGTTTTGAATCCGGAGAAAAATTGCATTAAACTGTGAATGTTGAGAAATTTCTTGGTTATTGCGTCGGTTTTATTGTCAAAAGCTCCCGTATGTTTCTATCGATTTATTCTTCGACTCCTGCTTCAAATTAAATTTCGATGTCCTCGTACTTTCAACTTGTTCAAGCAGGTAGTGAAACGTAATTGACTGGCCCTACCGAAGTATTTTATGGGTTTTATTATTGGTGGAATGCCCACCTTTTGAAATGCTGAACAGATGTCGCTTGAATATGGGACTCGACTAAAATCTTGGCTACTTTTGTTGATCTGGACGAATATAATGAAAGGATTGAAAAGGCGTTCGACATGAAATTGAAAATATAACGGAACCCCGAGAGGCGGACGTAATTGGTGCTTTGTCTTTGTCCGCAAATCGGATCACTTTTTCCCTTGGACTTCAATGGAACTATTTTTTGGTTCTCCTACTAATCAAAAATTATTAGAGTCCCGAAAAAATTTAATGGAATAATTTTCTCAACTGCAAGATACAGGAAATAGTGCACAGGAAATAGTGCAGAAGAAAATCGAGCATAATTTGATCTTCGAAAAAAAAAAAAAAGATCCCCAAAAATCGTAAACAAAAATTTGTCTTCCCTTTCTATGCTCAGATGACGGATGCACTGGAAGAGAAGAAGCACAGAATTTGCCTACTTTGGATCATGAATTACTGTAAATTTTAATAAACTTTCCTTCCAATTTTTGTGAATGTAAAAAGCTCAATCTTGTCAAGAGACATCGAAATAAAAAAAATCAAATGTTCCCATCCATCTAGCACTGTTGTTACGGTGTCCATATATCCAGACCTTGTCCAGACGTCATGGCAGATTTTTCGGATAATCAAGTGTCTCTAAGTCGATTCTTCATCATTTCGTGGTGCCCGCATGTCGGCCACCCATTTTATTGTAACCCCGCATATTCTAATCTTATTTCTCGGAATTTCTGTCCCTTTTCTTCCAGGTTGTCTTCTGCAAAGGTGGTGAATCAATACGGCGCCGTTTTGTCATCCTACTCAACGAATCCGACACCCCTGAACGACGCTGTGTTCTCGCTATTCCATCACGTGTCGGTGTCTCTGGAAAAACCCCAGGCTCTTCTTCAACCTCTGATCGTGTCCACGTTTGCCGACATGTGGAACACGGGGCGTGAACTTAGCGACGAATGGGGAGATGTCGTTGCTCTGGTGATGCGGTTGTTTATCGAGAGACTGGCGCAAGTCCGAGGCTCGTCGTCGTCGGACGAAAGTTCCATGTCGTCGGGCGACATGGTCTCTGTCTTTGAGACTGGCGAGGATACCGTATTCCCGGATGTTTCGTTTCGCACGTGTGATGACATGGAAGCGGAAGTGAACGACAACAGGTTCTCTGAGTAAGTGGTTCATTTTATGTCTTGTGGAAAGTATTTTTCAAATTTTGTCGTTTGTAAGTTACTATGATGTAAGACGAATAACCGTGTTTAGTTGGGTACTATTCACCTTTGAGTAAGGCACACACCAGGCGGTTTTCTGTCAAATTTTTTCGTAAAATTGTGTCTTCTGGTAAGATGTGCACCTCATTTTTAGTGCCTGTAAAACTGAAGTTCTTTGAAAAAAGAATCGCATAGAAATTTCAATTCAATTACAAATGCATCCTGAATTCAAATAATTTTCCATGATTTCCATTAGAATCAAGTGTAATGCACACCTGAACTACTCAAACTTTTTTGAAAATGTATGATGCAAAACCCATTTTTTCCTGTCAATGTTGAGAAAAAAATTTGCACATGGTACTTGAGTACTTATGCTGTAAAGTATATTCAATCAAGTACCAAGTGCCCTTGAGGCCTTGAGTAAGATGCACACCTTGGTTTTTTATCTGAACTTAGGGAAACAATAGTGAGATAGCACACCTTAGTTTTCAGTCCCCAAAATTCATAATTCAGAAACTGAAGGCGATGAAAATCGAAATACTGTACTCTGTATAAGCCAATTTAAAGTTGACTTCAGTGTTGTGTTGTGTCTTATGCAAATAAAAAAAGTCATGCCGAAGAGATTTAGGAAAAATAATTCTAGGTTGGGGAAGAAAGTTCCAAGTTTCAGAAAAAATTTACTAGAAAATGTTCACCCCGCTATGTTGATGTTGAAGGACAAGCTTCCAAAGATAGAAGATCCATTGGCAGACTTTCATTTTTTGTTCATTGAATCACACGACAGATTAAATTCCATGAAACAAAGAACACAGCCTTACAAAATTGTCCAAGTTTTCTCTGGTCTCTCCCTGAAATCTTGATTAGCAAGTAACGCAAAAATGTTCCAACAAATTACACCACTAGTGGAAAGAAACCAACTACTCTTTTGCCAGTAAATTTTTTGGAAAAAAGGTACGCGACGTACTAGAGTAACTACAGTACGTGCTTGAAATTGATTTTTTTTTGTGTGTGGTTCTTCAGATTGGACCCGATTGTCAAAAAAGTACTGGAATGCAGTGTACATGCAGAGCAGTGGTTGGAGTGGATCCGCACTTTCCTCACCCAGGCTGCTTGTGTCAAAATGTACCTCACCCTGCAGGAATCGTTCAAGGCCATGCCAGTCACTGCTGAAATCAAAGAGCTGAGTCTTGCCTGGCACAAGGAGTCTGAACTGCTTCTGAATCCCATTCTATTCTTCCATTGCTGTGAGTTTATTTTCACTTCTTCCGTTAATATTTATCCAACAGATGACATTCAGTATTTTTTTTTCCTTTGTTGATCCTGATATACTCAAATGTGAAGATTTCGTTATTTTTTGGATAAGATTTTAATAAAGGTAGACTCCCCATCCAATGATCTTGTCTGCCATGATTTTCTCTTTATCAATTGTTTTGGTCCCATAGGGGTCTCTAACCATGTTATAGACGTTCTCTGCAACAAAATTACATCTATAACCATCTTTGCTGGTACCCTGCATTTTATGGTAGATGGAGCCCACCTGTAGAGGGCACAATATATTGCAGCTTAGAAAATGTATGGATAGCTTCTAGAAAGCATTTAAACAATATCCTACCTGTGTCAACTGTTTCCAGTGATTTAGTCCCTTTGTGAATTCCCTCAAGCAGTGTTACACAGGCATCTCTGACTCAAAGACTTTCGCACCCCTAGAACCTGAATATTTTGAAAATTTTCAACTTTCTTGTTTTATTTTTCTGGGGACCATAAAACATAATGCAAAAGCAATGAAAACGTAACTTGAATCTCAAAAAAAGATTGATTGAGATAATTAATCCTCACTTTCAAGTTCAGCATCCTGCCAACTCTTTCATCCATCAGACCAAGAGCCAGAATATTGCCAATTTTAACTTCCTGCTATTCTCAAGATTTCTTTTCCAGGGAATATGGTGGATCCACCGACCCAAAAACTGCCTGAGGCGAATTTGCTTTGTGGGTTGCTTGGAGTTAGCCTTGAAGAGGTTTGACTGTATATTGTAAACTGATGAGATTCGAATTCCAATTGCAAATGCGTTGAAGCGACATCTCTACCTACTCTAGATAAATTTCAAGAACTGAGTGGATCAAGTTTTTTTTTTTATCCATTATGCCAAGTTCCAGTGTTCTTCAATTTAAACATTTTTTCTGTTCTTGGAAATATTCCCATCAGTGGCGAAGAAGAGGATACCCTTGGTGCCCTGGACAGAGCCTCTGGAAAGGGCTCTAGAAAACAAACAGTTCCTGACTTTGTTGGAGTGGTTGGGTCTGGATCTGGCGGCGGAATCCGGCGGAAGCTTTCCAACTGTTCCCCGGTCCTGGGGCAGCGAAGAACTGCTTGGAGCTGCTCACAAAATAACGCCAAAGAAAATAGTGCTCGGTACGCATCATTTGCACGCGCACATTTTTTTACACGAATTTTGTTTTCTAAAACCGAGTTACTTTTTGTTCAGTTGCCGAGGATGTTGTCGAAGTTGTGAGGAAAGTTAATCGCGTTCCGGATGCAATGGAGATCGACAAGGAGTCTACTCGGGAACCTTTTGTGGATGTGACGGGGGCTGAGGAAAAGGCCGGGTCTTCTGGAAGCGACAGCTGCTACGGATCTTCGATGACGTGAGGAAATAACGAACATATGCACTTAACAAATATTTGCGTCGAAAAAAAGTCAACTTACTTCGAATCGCAATATTTTTGGCAGTTCATCTTTGGAAGCTTGATGCTCTGGAAATTTCTCATTTTTAAAAATTGAGTGTCGTTTAATTTTAGTCTTCCGAGAGCTCGCATTTCGAGGCGAACAGGAATTGAAATCTTCACTAAAACGGTTGAATTATGAAACGCCCTTTTTTCAAATATATTCTAAAAAAATTTGACTTAACTATAAAATTACAGAACAGTAACAGCATTTTTTGGTGTTCGAGTGACTGCCCTGGTGTTGTCTTTGTTGAACCTTAGTGATGCAAACCTCTCTGTGTATTTTTCTGAAGTTCTTGTCCGAATTCCATGAGAAAATGCAATGAAAAACTTCAGTTACTTGAAGGCTTTTCCCTTTAAACAACTTCAACTGAAAATTTTGGCAATTATTCTGTGATCCAGGAAAGAGACAACTTTCCTGGCTCACGAGAGAGAGAATATGTGTGATGTACTGTTGCCCAGTACCAGAATTGAAGAATGTAACTTCATTCTTTTTTAAAAGGAATTATTGTAGACTCATTGGGCAAATGAACTCTCGCCTCCAAGTTCAGCATCCTGTCAGTTTCATCACAAAGGACTTCGGGCCAAAAAGGAAAATTTTAATTTCAACTTCTGTAATTTTTTTTAACGAGAAAATGACGGTTTCTGTAACTTACAGCCTCACCAAGTCGATTACTTCTGTGGGTCCCTTGCAATTTATCGTACAGAAGTTAAAATGCAAAAATAAATTACTAGTTAAATAGTGCATGTATTTCTGACTTCATCATGAAATTTTGTTGAAAAATCTGTTTTCAGTCTTCAACCTGTGACGTATTTCTGCTGTTGAAAATTTCCCATTTTTATTCGTGACATTTTGCTCAGGAGCAATTTAATCGAATTCTGCGTTAAGCAAAGCATGAAAAATGGAAGTTTAATTGGAAAGTAGTTCATGAACTCTCTATATGTAAATTTATTGTTGATTGGCTATTCTCCGAAATTGTTTCCGTCACCCAAGTAGTAATCTCGACATCTTCATCGAATATGCTTGAAAAACGAAATTGGAATCGTCTTTTTCAGGAAAAGCGAGAAGACCGAAGAATTCCCGACGCGAAAGTCAAATTCGACGTCGTTTTGGACACACAATGTTCGGGACGCTCTGCCGAAGGGCCTTCGGCTGCTAGTCGACGACGACGATGAATTGTAACCTGATTTCAGACTTGAGAGAACCTTTTTCCTGAACCCTTTGTGGATGTTTTTTTTTCGTCAACAATTTTTCCAATTTTGCCATTTGGCACATTTCATCGGTGGAAACGTATTTGACCAGAAAGCTTCTGTATACGCAATGACTCGTTGGTGAGTCGTTTTATTTTGTTTTATTTTTTTGTCGTTGAAGGTATATCTTTTTTAAGTGAAGCGAGAATGTTTTTATTTGCCATGAGCAGCTTTAATTTCAGGAAAGAAAGCGAAAGGAACTAAATGTGATGCGTGATTGAGCCAGTCAAAAGCATTCCAATTTTCATTCAGTTTTAACCCAAGTGAGTGTTCCCCGTGAATGGTGATGTGATTTTATTTTGATGCAATCTCGCGCATTGTTGGCGAAAACTGAATGTGGTGTTATGGTGTTCGTGTTTTACGAGATACACTTTTTTTTGCGGAAAAGAAGTACTGTTTGGATTGATTTCGTTCACACCCAATTCTAATTTCCGCAAATTCTTAAATTTCTGAAAACATATTTCTTGGAGTTCATTTACTGCGTAATTGGTATTCTTTGGTTTTCAGTCGATCCCAAACCTTTCATCTGAATTTCCAGTTGTACAGTAAAACCTTATTGACTTAATGAGTTCTTGTTTCAGGGAAACCAGCATTGCTGCCAAAAAAAGGAGAATGTTTTGATATGGTAAACTTTTTGATGTAGGACTGTGTAAACTGCTAGATAAACACAGTGAGAGTGGCCTCATGGTGTAATTTATTATATTCACTCAATTTTTAAATTTCTTGCACATTTGACCCTGGCAAATAATTCACCCATATGGAACGCATATCAGATTTCACATGGGTCAGTCACAAAAATTGAGATACACATCATACAGTACAAGCAATGGTTATTTTTTATCTGGTGAGTGTGAGACCCATGGAAGTCACCCAGTACTGTACAATGTGACTAAATCTAATTTCAAACAAGTTGAAGTGGATTTACTGCATGATTTTAATATGCTGGTTGTTGAGTACAAATAAGACAAGAGAACTCAATTCAACTTATTGCATTACAATGTGAGTTGAATTATACATTCTGGCATTGTTGAGAGTGGACGTTTCAATGTACTGAAGTCTTGAAATCGATAATGTCATGTGCTTTTCTGGTGCTTTTTGCCTATACATGCAGGTACTGTACGCGAATGTAATGCAATGTAATACACCAATGCTGTTGGTTCAAATTTTATTAGTTCTGTTTCAGCTAACCCTGCGCACTATATTATATTGATATATCATAGTACAGTATCGTCTCTACAATATTCATGAAGAGGTTTGGGCAAAAATACACGAAAAATCTCAAGATTTGCTTTTTCCCGTGAGAAGCTCACGTAAAGCCAATTTTTGAACATGTTCTCCAATTAAGATCAGCCATGATGCTGGCGGTAGTAAAATGTGGCTTGAATGACATGAACAATATTTGCATAGCTACATCATACATTGCATAGGTTTATTCACTGTTCTCAATGCATTCTACTCAGCAAAAATAAGAAAATAAGCTTTACAGAATTTCTGACGAACTGCAATCCCACGCAACTCTGATCAATACCTGCACTCGTAAAAAAGTAGGGCATTATTTATCACGAAAAATTTACGTATACGTTCCATTCTACTGTTTTAATCATTGCTCAGAGAATGGTCAGTAATCGATGTGTTCTGCTGACATCACGCTGACATTTGAAGCACGGTCGGAAATTCTGATTTCGAATATCAAAACGTCATTCTTCACGAAACCAAGTCACTTGATTGAATTCACATCGTATGAAAAGGTGTAGTATCGACCAAGTGTCACTCGAACACAGAAACAATAATTGGAATATTGGATACAGCATGTATACACCTTAGTATACTATAAATCTCAGTCAGTTGGCAGCAGACAATCTCAAAACATGAAGTTCAACGCAGTGTTTATCGCGTTCAGCGCCCATTTCTTGGACAACATTTTCAAACTTCATTTGAGCAGAAACCGGAGAGTTGCTCACAGCGAGAAAAAGTCATCAGATCATTCGCACGATTCCCAACGCAAATTAGATCAGCCATGATGCTGGCGGTAGTAAAATGTGGCTTGAATGACATGAACAATATTTGCATAGCTACATCATACATTGCATAGGTTTATTCACTGTTCTCAATGCATTCTACTCAGCAAAAATAAGGAAATAAGCTTTACAGAATTTCTGACGAACTGCAATCCCACGCAACTCTGATCAATACCTGCACTCGTCAAAAAGTAGGGCATTATTTATCACGAAAAATGTACGTATACGTTCCATTCTACTGTTTTAATCATTGCTCAGAGAATGGTCAGTGATCGAGGTGTTCTGCTGACATCACGCTGACATTTGAAGCACGGTTGGAAATTCTGATTTCGAATATCAAAACGTCATTCTTCACGAAACCAAGCCACTTGATTGAATTCACATCGTATGAAAAGGTGTAGTATCGATCAAGTGTCACTCGAACGCAGAAACAATAATTGGAATATTGGATACAGCATGTATACACCTTAGAACTATCAATCTCAGTCAGTTGGCGGCAGAAAATCTCAAAACATGAAGTTCAATCGTCACAAATAGCGCAAGTCGCGGGTAAAGAACCTGTTGTAAAAGTTTGAAGTAAACTCGTCTTTGGCCTCTCAACGAGTGTCGCTCTTTTTCAGTAGTCTAGTAAGCGTGCTAAGGGTTGCGTTTATTCGTCGATGGATTAGTACATTCTGGGAAGTTTCGATTCACCGTGGAAAAAGCACTGAACCTTCCAGATCTCAAAATTCACAAACGGCCAGTCTTGAAAGTATAGCGACGTTTCGCTCACTTAGATTATTGATCATCATCGCGTCGTTCCTGTTGTCCGCGATCATGGTAACTTGAAGCACTCAATCACTTTTTCCGATATTCACATGTAATTCCAATATTAATATAAATAGATGTATTCCGACGCCGTGAAAGTTGGAACAGTCTCTCAGGAATACGGTCTGAAAATTTCCCAGGAGGGAGAAAACCTCGCGATTTTCTTCGAAGACATCAACTGGGCACCGGATGAAAATTGGTTCACAGATGAAGGAAATTTTTCTGCTCTCGACTTTTACAACAATGCCATAGAAAACTTGGAACACTTGATTTACAAAGGTAACACTCATGGCTCAGTGAATGGCAAGTTACACTTATGTCGGAGACGCTGGTTCAACAAGTAGCTCCAATGCTTGAATAGTGTATAGTAGCGCCGACTGGACTTAATGCTCTTGTACGAATTTTTAACCGAAATGTACTTGAGGAGGTCAGAAACAGCCAATCTCGGTGAGATTTTTCAGACATTTCCGCTCACACACCTCATCATAAAATATATATTGAATTTTCACTGATACAACAGAGCTATGATTTGACCATATAATCACTGCTGGTGAGTGGTGAATCACACATGACTCACTTGAAACACAATAGCATTGATAAGAGCAGGGCATCACAGTATTGAACTCAGGACTTATAGGCACACTGAAATGTCTGGTTTACTATACTCAATGATACCTGAATGTATCGTTCAATTTACATATGGTGGTGATGTGCTGACCACGACGCTATGGCCAATCGAAGAGCTTCACGATGAACGAATAACCATAAGTATTTCTCAACTGTCTCTTTATTCTTCTTCAGCGTCAGTTAAGTTAAATCGAAACGTTCTGACCCGGTCTGATCAATAATGTAATCTGACATTACGGAGCATGTGATGCAAGATGTTCGATTAACAATATTCTCAAAACCAACTTCAGCGTGATCATAAAAATTGGATGGAGACGGCTCACCAGTTTCAGGAAATGTTTTTGAAAATTAATTTTTTGCTTACGGAAGAAATTTACGCGAAAGCTGCAGAAGTAAATATTATCAATAACTCTGATTTTGGGTCGAACTCAACGCAATTACACCATGCCCGAAACTCAACATAATTTTCGGAACACTCTGAACTCAGAGAATTAAGGTAACCGACACAGATCCGAAATGAAACAATGAGAACCGCAACTGAAATTCTTGGATGAGTGGAAAGATCGTATATAATTATTCTCAAATAATATATGACCATCGAGGCAGTGCTGGTCAGCATTTACCAATACTGTAAGACTTAATTTCGTCATTCATGATCAAAAGATTTCTGATCGTTGATTCGCGTAAATGTTACACAATAAAACAAGGCGCGGTATCTCCATCCGTAAATTATCGGGAAGCAAAGCAGTGAAGCATTAATTATTCATCTGATTTTCGTATGTGAGAGGAGAGCTGTTTTCCTTGTATATACTTCTTGTACACTAGATTTTCGAAAAATTCATTCGCTGTACATTACCCGACTGCAGCATATAAAGCATCAGCAACATACAACTCTCCCGCTTCGCAGTGGTAAGGAAATCCGCACGATTGATGTTCCGGTATCGAACCATCACGGAAAGGAACAACGGATCATCGATTCTCGATGAAATTCCTCGTCCCGTGTCGGCGATATTCTTCACCGTGAAAAACAAGAACTGGCGCAGAAACCTACCGATGAGTGATTTCCTCCGCACTGAACTCGAAATCAGCTTCCCAAAATGGGCTCAAAANTGATGTGCTGACCACGACGCTATGGCCAATCGAAGAACTTCACGAACGAATAACCATGAGTTTTTCTCAACTGTCTCTTTATTCTTCTTCAGCGTCAGTTAAGTTAAATCGAAACGTTTTGACCCGGTCTGATCAATAACGTAATCTGACATTACGGAGCATGTGATGGAAGATGTTCGATTTACAATATTCTCAAAACCAACTTCAGCTTGATCATAAAAATTGGATGGAGACGGCTCACCAGTTTCAGGAAATGTTTTTGAGAATTAATGCATTGCTGACGGAAGAAATTTACGCGAAAGCTGCAGAAGTAAATATTATCAATAACTCTGATTTTGGGTCGAACTCAACGCAATTACACCATGCCCGAAACTCAACATAATTTTCGAAACACTGAACTCAGAGATTTAAGGTAACCGACACAGATCCGAAATGAAACAATCAGAACCGCATCTGAACTTCTTGGATGAGTGAAAAGATCGTATATAATTATTCTCAAATAATATATGACCATCATCGAGGCCGTGGTCAGCATTCACCAATACTGCAAGACTGAATTTCGTCATCCATGATCAAAAGATTTCTGATATAAAGCATCAGCAACATACAACTCTCCCGCTTCGCAGTGGTAAGGAAATCCGCACGATTGATGTTCCGGTATCGAACCATCACGGAAAGGAACAACGGATCATCGATTCTCAATGAAATTCCTCGTCCCGTGTCGGCGATATTCTTCACCGTGAAAAACAAGAACTGGCGCAGAAACCTACCGATGAGTGATTTCCTCCGCACTGAACTCGAAATCAGCTTCCCAAAATGGGCTCAAAA